GAGCAGACATCTGTGCCTTTTTCCCAATCAGAGAGAAAGCATTCAGTCTTTCATTAATAAGTACAATATTTTCCGTAAGTTTTTTTATACGTACTGTTCATCATTTCTTTTATATTTGTTTATATTTTATGTCCTAGAATATGATCTATCTTAGGGTATGTTCCATAACATTTAAAAAGAATGTGTATTCTGTTGAGTGGAATGTTGAGTGCAAATGTTGATCAGATCCTATTGGGAAATGGTTATCACTTAATTCTTCTATATCCTTGCTCTGAGAGAACTGTTGAACTTTGCAACTGAACTGTACTTTTGTCTGTTTCTTCTTTCATTTCTATCAGTTTTTGCTTCATGTATCTTGTAGCTCTTTTGTTTGGTGCATACACATTAAGAATTGTTATGTCTTCTTGACAGATCCACCCTTTTATCATTATATAATGTCCTTTTCTCAAGTAGTTTTCCTTACTCTGAAGTCAGTTATCTGATATTAATATAGCCACTCTGCTTTCTTTTGATCAGTATTTGTATGTTGAGGTGCTTGGGTGGATCAAGCCCCACCTCAGGCTCCCTGTTCAGTGTGGAGCTTGCTTCTCCCTCTTCCTCTCCCTCTGCCCCTCTCCCCAGCTTGGGCTCTCTTTCTCTCACCCTCTTTCTCAAATAAATAAATAAAATATTTTTTAAAAAAATTTGTGGAGCACCTGGGTGGCTTAGTCAGTTAAGCGTCTGCGTTTGGCTCAGGTCATGATCCCAGGGTCCTAAGGATTGAGCCCCTTGTCAGGTTCTCTGCTCAGTGGGAAGCCTGTTTCCCTCTGCCTGCCCCTCTACCTGCTGCTCCACCTGCTTGTGCCGTCTCTCTTGTCTGTCAAATAAATAAATAAAATCTTTAAAATATCTTTTAAATATTTATATGTTAAAATTTTTCCATCATTTTGCTTTCAACTTGTTATGTTGTTATATTTGAGGTAAGTTTCTTGTAAATAACATATAGTTAGGTCATGTTTTCTAATCTACTCTGTCAATCTCTATCTTTAAATTTGCATTTTTAGGTCATTTACATTAATGTGATTATTGATATGTAAGGGTTTAAATCTAACATTTTGTTCTGTTTTTTCTGTTTGCTCTTTTTAATTTCTCTATTTTCTCTTTCCTGCTTTCTTGTGTGTTACTTGAGCATTTTGGAATTCTGTTTTGATTTATTTTAGTGTTTTTGAGTATATTCCTTTGTATAGCTTTTTAAGTGGTTGCTAAAACCACTAGGGTAGGTGAGGCCTTTTTACCACTGGGCAATATATGATGACTCTCTACTAGTCCTCCTCTAACACCATCCTAGTGAGGAGGGAGAGGTTCCCTTCATTATTTCCCTGAGGAGATGGAATCAAGGCCTACCATGTGGTCTCTATTGGTACTGCAATGGTGGTGGTAGTGATAGGAGCGGGGAACAGGGATTTGTCATTACCCTTAAGAGATGAAAATCCCTTTGGGATTTCAGTCACTGCTTGATCATCTCTGATACTGCCCTGGTGGCAGGTGGAGGAGGAGTTGGGTTGCCTCATTACAGCCTGGCAAGGGTGGAAGTCTAAGCTCCCCACTAAGCCTTTGCTAATGGGGGCAAGGCCACAGTTTTTTATCTAAACATAGATAGTTTTTATCTAAACATTTTTGGTCTTGCTAGGCAACCCCTTTCCTGGTCATTTTGTTAAACAGAACAGATGTTTGTTGGGGCTTTTTTTGTCTGCTCCCATTGGCATTTCCAAGTTATGGCTTCTTTAACCCTAAGCCTGAGATAATGAGGCAAAAAGAAAATGCAGGGAGCTAACTGCTGTGTTTCCCCTTATACCCAAAGGTCCCAGACTGTCTTCTCTCTACCTTTAAGAGACTTCCTATGTTTGTTTTATATATAAGGTCCAGGATTTTTAGCTGTACTTAGCAGGAGGAATAGGGAAAAATACTACTACTACTACTACTACTACTACTACTACTACTACTACTACAACTATTACTGCCTTTCCAGAAGCAGAAATTCTATGAATACTTTTAATGCCAACATAATCATTTAAAAGCTCTATTAATTGCCTACCTGCTATTATTCCATGGGTAGAATCCTTTTTGTAGTTTTTTCCATGCTATACAGTTAAAAGTATATGTCTTAATCAGGGTTCTCTAAAAGAACAGAACCAATAGGAGATACATATCTGTATCTATATATCTACATCTATATCTGTCTGTATATAAAAGAAGGAGTTGGCCTATGCACTCCATGACTCTGACAAGTCCCAGCATCTGCAGTGTGAATCAGCAAGCTGGAACCCAGATTCCAATCCTAATCAGAAGGCCTGAGAACCAGGATAGCTGATGTTGTAGTTCTAGTCTGAAGCGTGACAGGCTCTAGATGCAGGAAAAGCTGATGTTTCAGTTCAAATCCAAAGGCAGAAAAAATTCTCTTACTCAGCAGAGGTTCAGCCTTTTTGTTCTATTCAGGTCTTCATCTAATGAGACTGCCCACCCACACTAGGGAAGGCATTCTGCTTTATTCAGTCTACCATTCAAATGTTAATCTCACCCAAAAACACCCTCACAGAAACACCCAGAATAATGTTTAACCAAATATCTGGGTACCCTGTGACACAAAATTAGCCACCACAGTGTGCAAACATTTAAAAGCACAAGATTACCAGTTTGGTTAATTGAGACCTAAATAGGAATTCTGACCAAGGTTGCTCACAAATTCACATTTTGGGATGACTTTGAAGTATGTAGAGAAATTCAAAGAGAATGAGTAAAGCCTTTTAAAAATTCAAAAATTTATTTAAATTTCCACAGCAACATGTGGAAGAATGAAACTGGACCACTTTCTTACACCACACACAAAAATAAATTCAAAATGGATGAAAGACGTAAATGTGAGATAGGAAATCATCAAAATCTTAAAGAAGAACACAGGCAGAAACCTCTTTAACTGGCTGTAGCAGCTTCTTACTAGACACATCACCAGAGGCAAGGGAAGCAAAAGCAAAAATGAATTTTTGGGACTTGATCAAGATAAAAACTTATGCATAGGGAAAGAAACAATCAACAAAGGCATCCTATGGAATGAGAGAAGATATTTGCAAATGACATATCTGATAAAGGGTTAGTATCCAAAATCTATAAGGCACTTATCAAACTGAACACCCAAAAAACAATCCAGTTAATAAATGTGCAGAAGGGGCACCTGGGTGTCTCAGTGGGTTAAAGCCTCTGCCTTTGGTTCAGGTCTTGATCCCAGGATCCTGGGATCAAGCCCCCGCAGCCAGCTCCCTGCTCAGCGGGGAGCCTGCTTCCCCCTCTGCCTCTCTGCCTACTTGTGATCTCTGTCAAATAAATAAATAAAATCTTTAAAAAAAGAAAGAAAGAAAAAATGGGCAGAAGACATGAATAGACATTTTTCCAAAGAAGACATCCAGCTAACCTAGCTAACCAACACATGAATGAAAAAAATGTTCAAATCACTCATGATCAAAGAAATACAAATCAAAACCACTTCACACCTGCCAGAATGGCTAAAATTAACAACACAAGAAACAACAGGTGTTGGCGAGGTTGCAGAGGAAGGGAACCCTCTTGCGCTGTTGGTGGGAATGCAAACCGGTACAGCCACTCTGGAAGACACTATGGAGAGTCCTCAAAAATTTAAAAATAGAACTATCCTATAATCTAACAATTGCACTATGAAATATTACCTAAAGGATAAAAAATACAGATTCAAAGGAGTACATGCACCCCGATGTTTATAGCAGCATTATCAGCAATAGCCAGACTATGGAGAGAGCCCAAGTGTCCATCAACTGATGAATGGATAAAGAAGAGGTGGAGTGTGTGTATACACACACACACACACACACACACACACACACACACATAATGGAATAATACTCAGCCATCAAAAGAAATGAAATCTTGCCATTTGCAATGACCTGGATGGAGCTGGAATGTATTATGCTAAGTGAAATGTCAGAGACAAATACCAGACGATCTCACTCATATGTGGAACTTAAGAAAGAAAACAGATGAACATATGGGAAGGAGAGAAAGAAAAAAAAAGAGAGGGAGAGAGGGAAATACACCTTAAGAGACTCTTAACTATAAAGAACAGTGTTGATGGGGGATGAGCTAGATTGGTGATGGGTATTAAGGAGGGCACTTGCTGTGATGAGTGCTGGGTGTTGTACATAAGTGATGAATCATTGAATTCTACTCCAGAAACCAATATTGCACTGTATGTTCACTAACTAAAATTTAAATTAAGAAAAAGCAATAGGGATCTGAAGCATAGATAGATAGATAGATAGATAAGGAAAGCAACCACTAAAATCTGGAAGGCAGTATGGCATTATGGGAAGAGACTGTGGTTGCTTTGTTTCTTCAAGAGAGCTTTATAGATAGAAAAACCTAAAACTTTGATTTTTCCTGACTCTTAGAGTAAGTATTTTTTTTCCATTGTTGAAAGATTTAAAAAATTCAAAATAAGTGTTTCTCATGATCTATAATCTTTTTGTCACCATTTCTTAACATTCCCCCTCGGACTAGCATACAGGTGTCAAGAGCTACTGTTTTTGAGGTCAGGCAGTATCATTTGTGGAGAAGACTTTGGACTCAAATAGATTGGGGTTCCCAGGTGTGTAACCTGAGGCAAATTGCCTTACCCCTCTAAACGGCAGTTTTCTTATCTGAAAATGAGGAGTTTAATATCTGTAAAATCAGTTTAAGTGCTCCATAATTAAACATTCTCAAAAGTAAGACATCTAGATAATCTTCAGTTTTGCAGTTTTACGAATTAGACTGACATCTTGGTGCTTAAATTTCTATATTTTGGATTGTTTCCTTGAATTCAGCTTCTTAAAGGTAGAATTACTGAATCAAGGCATAGAGCTTTCTAGAGAGGTGGTACCAAGTTTGCACTAGCAATGGGAGAAAGAAAGAGAGAGAAAGATGCTTTTCTAATTTTTAAACTTTATATTTTGTAGAAGCATCAGGTGGTGAAGGAGGAGGAGACCCAGAAATGCAGCAGGAGACAGCTCCAGTACCAGCCCTGTCAAAGAAGACCAAACAGGTGACAGTACTGTAGGAGTCACAACTGTTAAATTCTGGAATCAGCTTCTACTCCTCTACACCATTCCCTGTTCTTTAACATCAGTTGTTGGTGGACTTTGAAGGAGGCTTTTTATCCTCTTTCCTTGGGAAAAAACATGCTTCATTAATGATAAGCAAGGTCTATTTTCCCCCTAATATTTTTTTCCAATATACAGATATTTTACAATAATGATATCTTAGATTCTTGTACCACATCTTTACCAAAGATCCAGTAGTACACTGTTTGCTACAGTTCCTAGGAGAAGAAAAATAGTATAAAGATATGTAAAATTACTTAACATACCACTGCGTGATTACAGCACCATGCCAGCAGACTCTAAGGGTCTCATGTCTACCTAACATGAGGTTGTGGTCCACTGTATGAATATTTATCATGGGACTTCTACCTTCAGTATTACCAAATCATTTGATACACTTTGCTTTCTGGACTTAGAACCTTTTCTTTCCTTCTTAATCTTTCTACTGGCCACTCACATCCATTTGCAGCCCTTTCAAATTATGTATCCCTCAAACCTGATTGGTAACCATGTGTGATTTTTTTAAAAGGATTACCTACCGTCAATTAAAATTATTATTTTCTTCATAGCAGTGATTTGTGGTCTTATTATTATTGTAAGTGGCCCTAAACTCATTCCCATGAGAGGGTGACTCTACCCAGTTTGTAACTAGGCTCAGGATAATTGTGAGAATCAGTTTACCAACAAGCAGTGCGACCTTAATCAAGTTAAACTCTCTGTGCCTCTGTCTCCTCGTTGGTAAAATGGTGATAATAAGTATATTTTCTTCACAGAGTTGCAGTAGAGATTAAATGGCTAATACTTGGGATACCTGGAGGACTCAGTGGATTATGCATCTGCCTTTGGCTCAAATCATGATCCCAGGGTCCTGGGATCAAGTTCCACATCAGGATCCTTCCTCAGCAAGGAGCCTGCTTCTCCCTTTCTGGTGCTCCCTGTTCTTGTGCTTGCTCTCTCGCTCTCTCTCTCTCTCTCTCAGATAGATAGATAAATAGATAAATAGCTAATACTTGTTAAGCACTTCAAACAGTGGTTGGCAAAGAGTAAGCACCAAAGTGATGATAACTTTAGTAAATAACACTTCATCTTCTTTATTATTTTTTCCTGTTGGAATAGAGGACTACAGAAAGATACACATATTTAATAGGTGATCATCTCAGTTTCTCTCCAGCCATTAAATATTTTGCTCCAAAGCTGCATATCAGTTTTAGGTTTTATTTTTTCTTTTTGCTATTATTTTATTTTACATTTTTAATTCAACTATAATTAACAGTGTTATATTAATTTCATGTGTACAGTATAATGATTCAACAATTCTATGCATTACTTACTGCTCACCATGAGAGTACATGACAGTACACCATAAGAGTACATATAAGTGTACTCTTAATCGCCTTTACCTATTTTACCCATTACCCCACTCATCTCGCCTTTGACAACCACCAGTTTATTCTCTACAGTTAAGAGTCTGTTTTTGGTTTGTCTCTTTTTTTCGCCCTTTGTTCCTTTGTTTTGTTTCTTAAATTCTATATATGAGTGAAATCATATGGTATTTGTCTTTCCCTGACTGGCTTATTTCACTTAACATTAAACCCCCAAGGTCCATTCATGTTGTTACAAATGGCAAGATTTCATTCTTTTTTATGGCTGAGTTATATTATGTTTTGTGTGTGTGTCTTTGTGTGTGTGTCGGTGTGTGTGTGTGTGTGTGTGTGTGTGTGTGTGAGAGAGAGAGAGAGAGAGAGAAAGAGAGAGAGACATGTCCTTTTTCCATTCATCTATGGATGGACACTTGGTTTGCTTCCATATCTTGGCGGTTATACATAATGCTGCAGTAAACATAGGGGTACATATATCTTTTTGAATTAGTGTTTTTGTTTTGATAAACCCAGTAGGGGAATTACTGGAATATATGGTAATTCTGTTTTTAACTTTTTAAGAAACATCCATACTGTTTTCCACAGTGATTGCACCAGCTTGCATTCTCACCAACAGTACAGGAGAGTTCCTTTTTCTCCACATCTTCAACACTTGTTATTTCTTGTGTTTTATTTTAGCCATTCTAACAGATGTCAGGGGATATCTCACTGTGGTTTTGACTTACAGTTTCCTGATTATTGGTGATATTGAGCATCTTTTCATGTGTCTCCTGACCATCTCTGTATGTCTACTTTGGAAAAATGTCCTTTTATATCCTCTGCCCATTTTTATTTGGATTATTTGGGTTTTTGGTGATGAGTTTGCATAAGTTATTTACATATTTTGAATATTAACTTTTTATTGGATATATCATTTTCAAACATCTCCCATTCAGTTGGGTGTCTTTTTGTTTTGTTGATGATTTGCTTCTCTAGGCAAAAGCTTTTTATTTTGATGTAGTCCCAATAGTTTGATTTTGCTTTTGTTCCCTTACCCAGAGGAGACATATCTAGAAAAATGTTTCTGTAGCTGATGTCAAAGAGATAACTGCCTGTTTTCCTCTAAGAATCTTGGGCTTTCAAGTCTCATATTTAGGTCTTTAATCCACTTTGTGTTTATTTTTGTGTATCGAGTAAAAAAGTGGTCAGACTTTATTCTTTGTCAGATAGCTGTCCAGTTTTCCCAACAGCATTTGTTAAAGAGACTATCTTTTTCCCATTGCATATTCTTGCCTCCTTTGTCATAGATTAATTGACCATAAAAACATAGGTTTATTTCTGGGCTCTGTATTTTCCTCCATTCATCTACTGTTTTTGTGCCAGTACCATACCATTTTGATTACTATAGCTTTGTAATATGTCTTGAAATCTGCGATTGCAGTGTCTCCAATTTTGTTCTTTTTCAAGATTGCTTTGGTTATTCAGGGTCTTTTATGATTCCATACAAATTTAGGATTACTTGTTCTAGTTTTGTAGAAAATGTTGGTATTTTGATAGGGATTGCATTAAATCTGTAGATTGATTTGGGTAATACAGAAATTTTAATAATATTTGTTCTCCTAATCCATGAATATGGAATATCTTACCATTTGTGCCATCTTCAATTTCTTTTATCAGTGTTTTATAGTTTTGAGAGTACAAGTCTTTCACCTCCTTGGTTAAGTTTATTCCTAGGTATTTTTTTATTTTTGGTGAAATTGTAAATGAGATTGTTTCCTTATTTTCTCTTTCTGCTACTTCATTATTGTTGTATAGAAATGCAATAGATTTTTGTATATTACTTTTGTATCCTGCTACTTTACTGAATTCATTTGTCCATTATAGTAGTTTTTTGGTGGAGTCTTTCAGGTTTTCTATATAGAGTATCACGTCACCTGCAAATAGTGAAATTTCCCTTACCAATTTGGATATCTCTTTCTTTTCTTGTCTGATTGCTGTGGCTAGGACTTCCAGTACTATGTTGAGTAAAAGTGGTGAGAGTAAATATCCTTGTCTTGTTCCTGATCTTAGAAGAAAACTCCCAGTTTTTCACAATTGAGTATGATGTTAGCTGCAGGTTTTTCTTATATGGGCTTTATTATGTTGAGGTATCTTCCCTCTAAGCCTACTTTGGTGAGTTTTTTATCATGAATGGATAGTTGTACTTGTCAAAAGCTTTTTCTGCATCTATTGAAATGATCAGATGGTTTTTATCTTTTCTCTTGTTGATGTGATATATCACATTCATTGATTTGAGAATACTGAACCACCCTGCATCCCAGGAATAAATCCCACTTGGTTGTGGTGAGTCATTTTTTTAAATGTACTGTTGGATTCCGTTTACTAATATTTTGTTGAGGATTTTGGCATCTATGTTCATCAGAGATATTTGCCAACAGTTCTCTTTTTTTGTAGTGTCTTTATCTGGTTTTGGTATCCCAGTAATGCTGGTCTCAGAATGAATTTGGATGTATTCCTTCCTCTTGTAGCTTTTGGAACAGTTTGAGAAGAAAGGGTATTAACCCTTCTGTAAATATTTGATAGAATTCACCTGTGAAGCCATCTGGTCCAGGACTTTTGTTTGTTGGGAGTTTTTTTATTACTAATTTGAATTCATTGCCAGTAATCAGTCTGTTCAGATTTTCTATTTCTTCCTGATTCAGTTTTGGGAAGTTATATGCTCCTCAGAATTTATCCATTTCTTCTAGGTTGTCCAATTTATTGGTATATAATTTTTCATAATAATCTCTTATAACCCTTTGTATTTCTGTCATGTCAGTTATTTCTCCTCTTTCATTTCTGACTTGATTTGAGTTCTCTCTCTTGTTTTTGATGAGTTTGGCTAATCATTTATCAATTTTGTTAGATCTTTTCAAATAACCAACCCTGGGTTCATTGATCTGTTCTGTTGTTTTCTTAGTCTTTATTTATTTCTGCCCTAATCTTTATTTCCTTCCTTCTACTGGCTTTAAGCTTTGTTTTTTTTTTTTTTTTTTGTTTGTTTGTTTGTTTTGTTTTTGTTTTGTTTTGGTTTGGTTTTTTTGTTTTTCTTTCTCCTTTAGGTCTAAAGTTAGGTTGTTTATTTGGGATCTTTCTTGCTTATTAAGGTAGGCCTATATTGCTATAATCTTCCCTTTTCAATAGTTTTGCTCTATCCCAAAGATTTCCAATGGTTGTGTTGTCATTTTCATTTATTTCCCTTCATTTTTTTATTTCCTTTTTGATTTATTGGTTGACCCACTCATTGTTTCGTAGCATGTTACATAAGCTTCATGTGTTTGTGTTTTTTCTTGTGATTGATTTCTGGTTTCATACCATTGTAGTCAGAAAAGGTGCATGGTGTGATTTTAATCTTTCTCTGGGTCATTTTCTTTGTTCATTGCACTAATGTGGCTGCTATTTGGGTGTGTATCCATGGAATAAGGTGAGGTTAGGATCCTCTTACTCTGCCATCTTCCTAGACTCCCTCCTCAGTTTTAATTTCAGCCATTCCTTCAGAAAGCCTACAGGTTAACATCCTTAGCCTTTTGATTTATTTCACCAAT